GCAGGCATGCTTGAAGCCACCATGTTATTTTAGATGACTATTCTGTCAAAGTCCTTCCAATGTAAAAAATGCAAATCACATGCACCCACAATTTTGGAGAATCTCTTATAAAATGGGTTAAAATCATGTATATTAACCCTAGGTGTAAAATAGTCAATAATGGCGATTTCTCAGAAAGTTTAAACTGTCAAGAGGAGTGAAACAAGGTTGTCCACTATCGGCATATCTATTTATTATGGCCATCGAAATGTTAGCTATTAAAATCAGATCCAACAATAACATAAAGGGATTAGAAATCCGGGGATTAAAAACAAAGGTGTCATTGTATGCTGATGATTCATGTTTTCTTTTAAATCCACAACATGAATCCCTCCACAGCCTCATAGAGGACCTAGATACATGTTCCAACCTCTCTGGATTACTACCACATTATGATAAATATTACATATTGGATCACAAAAAAATAAAAACGTTACATTACCATGTAGTTTACCAATAAAATGGTCTGATGGTGATGTGGATATACTCGGAATACATATCCCAAATGAAATTAATGATCTCACTCCAATACATTTTAATAGAAAATTAGCAAAAATAGATAAGATCTTGCTACCATGGAAAGGTAAATACCTGTCAATTTGTGGAAAAATCACCCTGATTAACTCTTTAGTATTATCCCAGTTTACCTATTTGCTTATGGTCTTGCCTACGCCTAGCAAACAGTTTTTTAAATTGTATGAGAAAAAAATATTCAATTTTATTTGGAACAGCAAGCCAGACAAAATTAAACAGGCCTATTTATATAATGAATATGAATTCGGGGGACAGAAATGATTAAATATTAAAGCATTAGACCTATCACTAAAAGCTTCAGTCATACAAAAGTTACACTTAAATCCGAACTGGTTCTCTAGCAAATTAGTAAAATTGCCTCACCCAATGTTCAAGAATGGCCTTTTCCCCTTTATTCAGATTACAACTTCTCACCTTCAGTTACTTAAAAAGGAAATAATCTCCCAAATACCACTATTTCTAAAACAAGCCATAGAAAGTTGGTTGCAATTTCAATGTAATCCTCCAGAAACTACAGAACAAATAATGCAACAAATATTGTGGTTAAACTCAAATATACTAATTGATTAAAGAAAAAATGTTTTCAAAAGGTATAATCTTCGTAAATTATATCATAGGTAGGACTGGTGGAGTTATGTCGCACATGCAGCTAACAAAAACATATGGAAATGTCTGCTCTACCCAAAATTACAATCATATAATTGCAGCATTACCGCAAAAAATGGAAGAGGAAAGTGGAAGGGGGAAAAAGTAAGGAACTTGTCTGTCGGCCTTGCATTAAAGAGCATAATTGGTTAAAGAAAATTGTGCTAAATAAAAAAGTATACCAGTTTCATTTAAGGACCAAAGGATTGACAGCCATCCCATATAAATTGTATATATATATTTGCAAGAAGAAAAAAAACATATGGGGGATTGGAAGTGATGCAGACAATTACATTGATGGAAGTTACAATATTTCTGCAATATTAAAGCTAATCTACCCCCCCCCCCCCCCCCCAAAAAAAAAAAAAAAAAAAAAAAAATAAACAATCACATGCATCCCACCCAACTAACTGTCAAAGTGGACACAACTCAGCTCCCTGGCCTTGGCTGGACTGTTGTCTTATTTACCTTTATAGCCAAATATACTGTATAGCTACTGTGTAGCTCGGAGACGCCTAATCTGGTGGCGCGCCCTGTCGGAGATTACCATGTGCCTTTCTTATCGCCACCATTCACGTTGCTACGGCGACGATGCAAGCAAGGCTACTGTTGGTTGCGCAGTCATGACGTCAGGTGGATATAGGGAATTCCGTATGCACGGAGTGGAAGAACAGCCGAGTTCAGAACTCATCAGCGAGATCCGGACGAACAAAACTCGCAAGAAAACATTATTTGGGACTTCGCCTTAAATTATTTTACAGTTGACGTTATAGAAGTGTTGCTTATGTACTTTATCAAGCGTTGGCGTTGCGCAGAAGATGTGTCCATATGTGCACTAAAATAACATTTGATGCAACCTTCGAAAGTTGTATCTATCAAACCCAATGACCCACACCTCAAACATTATTCATAAACATAATATTTGAGAGCTGCTCAAACAACTCAAACAGAGACGAAGACTGCGGACTTGCACATGTAAGTTTCTTACAGCCTGTAATGTAGATGTTGAAAACGTTTTACAATGTTTCACTGGAGATGATGATGGTGATTGTGGTTGTTAAAAAATTATATCACATTTTATAAAATTATATCAATACATTATTATTTTTCCAGACAAAAAAAAAAAGCTTTTGTACTGTATGACCGGCCATTTCTTTGGACTTGACACTATCAGCAAACAAAGATGTCAGAATGTAGGGTAAACAAACATTTATGTTTGCTTATGCTCAGGTCACCCTCTTTTAACTTCGGTCAGTTGAAAGTAATATCTAAAATGAATGTTATTAAGTTAATATTAACCAGCTTTGGTCTAATACCATATCTATTTTGTTGCCTTTTTATCGTTTGTTGAGTTCATGTTTTCAGTGGACTATTGAGTTCATGCACTTACCCATCCCACAGTTAGCCCTGCAGCAGAAAGAGTCAGGACTGAGTTGACCAACCTGGTCTCAGAGCATTTCGTATTCTTCTGTAGTAAATCCGAGATACTCCATTTAGTATGATATGTTACATTTCGCATGGTTTGTATTAATTTGTGGCTGTCCATCACTCATGTCGTATGATATGTTACGAATTACAATTTGTATTATATGTTATGAATTTGCAAAACATAGTATATGTTACAAATTTGCAACATGTATGATATGTTACGAATTTTAGCTAGGTCGCTAACGTTAGCTAGCTGGCTAATGTTAGCTAGGCTAGAAGTTAGGGTTAAGGTTAGGGTTAAGGTTAGGGGAAGGGTTAGCTAACATGCTAAGTAGTTGCAAAGTAGCTAAAAAGTAGTAAGTAGTTGAAAAGTTGCTAAAGTTGTCCGTGATGAGATTCGAACTCGCAACCTTTAGATTGCTAGAAGTTTGCGTTATACGCCCACCCCGACCAAATACCCTACTTTCGTTTTTGCCTTAAGTAACAATCTGTCTTATGGAACCATATCAAATGTATAATATCATACAAATACATTTACTATGTTACGTCTAGTGTATGAGACCAGGCTGAGTTGACATTAGGAAATCATACAATTGATCTCAACAGGTTTGGGCAGTGCAGTCCAGGGGCTGTTTCATTGACAGGGCCTCTATTTTGGAATTGTTTTGGCCTGGTCTCTGCTGTAGCAGCTGGTTCTGCAAAGTTATCAGCCTGGTGACAAACTTCACATGATAAAGGTGGAAGTGGATCTTTCTCCAGAATGTGAAGTGAAACGTCTCACTTCACTGCAGTTCTCACAGTACTGACACTTGAACAGTGCTACGTTTTCAGCGCATGTGTTGTTATCTTTCTGATGCACATGTCAAGCTTAACTTTACCTTGGTTCCCATAGCACTGTAACTGACTCTTGCAATGTGCTACTTTGCTGCGTGTGTGTGGCCAGTTGGGTGTACGCCTATGTCCCTATTTTCCTTCCAAAAATTTCCTGACAACGTGTGTGTGTCAATAATAAAACATTATGTCCCTCAACCCTCTTGGCTATCAGAAATAAACCTTTCGTCTCAGTCGCTGCTGGCCACATTCCCAGGTCTATCTGCAACACACGCCAAGTCTGAGTGACCTTATCATGGAGCTTTGCCATTGAAGGATCAGTGACAATGTGCGGACGCACTAGCGGCTCTAATATCCTTGCACCTCTTAATGCCTCCCGAGCCCATAAAGCTGTTAGCAGGCCATTTTTAAATAGATAAACACTTTATATTTGTGCCTGAGGGCTGTGTGGGACACTACCTCTGAGCAAAGTGCTTTTCAGTCACACCGGGTCTCCACCGGTGAGTCAGCAAAACAGAGGCTTCTCTAATTGGGCTCAGAGGGAGGTGGTAGGGCAATAGACAGACAGACAGACAGACAGATAAACAGACAAAGGTTGGGGGTCAATTCAAGTTCAATTTAGAGATTGAACTGAAATTCATGAATTTGAGGACTTTTCAACTCTAAAGTGCTTGAAACCACTGCACTCAGAAACTTAGGCCATCAAGTGTCTCTGCACATGTAAAAAAAAACGTGACAGCAGCAAAATCGAGGCCCTACTTGTTGACACCCCTCATCAGGTCCAGCACTCACCAATAACACACCTCACCATTGCAGGACAGAACATCCCTCTCTCCCCCTCCGTTTCCAATCTGGGTGTAAAGCTTGATTCCTCCCTGACCTTTGACAGCCACATCAAACAACTGTGTAAAGCGTCATTCTATCACCTCAAGAACATTGCCAAACACTGTCCCACACTCACTCAGTCTGATGCAGAGAAGCTCGTCCATGTCTTTATCTCCTCAAGGCTGGACTACTGCAACGCACTCTTCATTGGGATCCCTGGCAGGAGTCTCCAGAAGCTCCAGTACATCCAGAACAGCGCTGCCAGGATCCTGATGAGAGTGAGGAAGCACCATCACTTCACCCCCATCCTGGCATCTCTGCTCTGGCTCCCCGTCTCATTCTGGATTGAATTCAAAACCCTCCTGCTGACTTTCCAGTGTATTCATGGCAATGCCCTTCCTTATCTAAAATAACTGCTCTCCCTCCATAACCCCACACACACCCTCAGGTCAAGTGATGGCTTGCTCCTCCAAGCCCCCAGGACCAACTTCTGCTCCTTTCAGCTCGACCGCCCCCCAGCCTCTGGAATGCCCTCCCGGACCACCTGAAAGCAGCACAGACTATGGGTTCCTTTAAAATGGGCCTAATGACCTTTCTCGTTAGGAAGGCTTTCTGTTGATAGCTGTGCTCCTTGGTGTCCTTGTGCCTTGAAGCGTCAGCTATGTTCTTTGTGTCAGTTGCCCTGTCTAGTTGTCAATTCTTTATTTTCTTAAATCATGTTTTTATGAGATTGTTCTGTATAATGAAAAGCGCTTTACAAATGTAATAAATTATTATTACCATAATTCAACTCCAACCCTCGTTCCCCACAGAAAGGTCCAGTTCGAACACTTTTACATGTCAACAAACCTTTGTGTTTGCCTGTCCCCTCTATAGAAGGGCAGCCATGTTCCCTGATGCCCTAGAGGCAGCTGGCCGGGTGGAAGGCTTGCCCCTGACCTCCCCCGCAACTCCAACCTTACCTGACCCTGATGAAGAGGAAGGCCAGAGGGAGGTGATGGCGTGGACCAGTCCCAGGCGGAGAGCTGGCCGCTACCGTCACAGCCTGCAGATACTGAAGCCCTTCAGGATAACACACAAGTAAGCGCCCTCTTTTTAGGGACTTTACTCAGCCCCTAATCTGAAATCCTGCAATGTTGACACTAAAGAGACCGAGTGTGCACTGCTTTTGACCAGAGCCCTATTAGTCCTGGTCAAAATTAGTGCACTATGAAGGGAATAGGGTGCCATTTAGGACTCAACCATAGTGTTCCTGTTTCGATGGAGAGAGCAGCAGGATGCCATGATAAGGGAATCGCTAACAGAGGGCTCTGCGTTTGAATGCAAACAGAGGGCTCTGCGTTTGAATGCACGCGGACTGATAAACTGCCCTGGAACTTTTTTTCGCTGCTCCCCAAGATTTCTATGAAGTGCCTGCAAACTGCTGTTCAAACAACGGTTGTTCATGATTCATCTTTCCACTTCGCCGGGTCAAAGTGAAGGCTCAGGGCCTCTTTATTATGTTATTGCTGTCTCTCTCTCTCTCTCTCCTCTCTCTCTCTCTCTCTCTCTCTCTCTCTCTCTCTCTCTCTCTCTCTCTCCACCTAACACCCAGATGATGCCTAGATTTTCACTGTCTTTCTCGCAGGCACCAGCACCCAGTCGACAACGCTGGTCTCTTCTCCTTCATGACTCTGCACTGGCTCACCCCGCTCGCTCTGAGGGCCCACAAGACATCCAGCCTCTCCATAGACGATGTATGGGGCCTGTCCTGCCACGAGGCCTCTGAATTCAACTGCCACAGGTGAGGCTATTGTCAAACATCAATCCCCAAGCACCCTACTGTCCATTGACTCTACATAGGTTCAACAGGGTGATTGTTTTCCCCTTCAACAAACATTCAATTCATCACTTTTCCTGTCCCTTTGCAAGTTAAACCAACCAATGTTAAAAAAACATTGAACAAACACAGACGGTAGGCCTAGAAAACAGAAGTGCAGGCCAAGGTTTACCAGCCAGGTGCATTGTGGGTCATCTCAGAGTGGACCTCCGCAGTTGCCGCATGTGGTATTCCATTGATTTCCCAGAGTCACCCTCCACAGGGGTTGATTGACTGATTGATGAACATCCTATCTCCATAGAGATTTGGAAGGTGTTTTTAGAGAGTTAGCCGGGACTAGCTCTGCTCAGTGCTGCCTACAGAGAGAGCGGTTATGTCATTAACCCTCATCCTCGCCTCGGGACAGCCTGTCTCTCCGTGTCTCTGATTAACTGTCTCTTTGACTGGCGACACAACTGTTATTATTCATGAGTAGATGGATGGAATGAATGAACAAATGAATGAACAAAAGAAGGACATATTAATTGGTGGAGCATTTGTGGCTCACATTTTTCACATGACTTCCACATCTTGATCAAAAGCAGAAATTCCTGTGAGCTAGGCCTATTACATGCTATAGGGGAGGGACGCATAAAAAGTGTGTCGCTGGCCTGGGGCCAAACGTGGCCCTGAAAACGGCCACATGCATTGTATGCGTGTGCTGCGTCTGAAAAGAAGAGGTAGAGTGGAGGGTTTAACTTCGTGTTTACATGCCTAGAACAGTTATGCAATGCAACTCCCACAGAGAGGGGGATGGGAGAGGAGCCAGAGAGCCCTCTGGGCGAGTTGACACTTGCTAAAAGAAGGTGCTATTAATGAAACGCCAGCAGGCTATCCTCTAGCTTCATTCAGTCACCACATTTGTTTTTTGTTAGGCTAGCCGGTATAAAATGTGGCAATTAGGCCACATTTGCAGCACTATGTTTATATAATTTTTTTTTATTAGTTTGAGTATTATTAAGTGAAAGTGTTTTTATAGTTGTTTTATAGTTGCTTTATGTGCACTACTACTAGACGACTCTTTTCAACCTTACAGACAGTGAACTGGATTTCATTTGCTTGTAGACTCACTATCTTTTGGGGCCTTTTACAGGATTGATAGGCTTCTCTCTAAATTAAACTGCTTGGTGTAGAGACCATTGATTTCACTTCAAACCAAAAACTCCAAAGGAGCTATATTATTTATACTAAACATTGAATGTATCATTTCCTACAAAACTCGCTCTGCAAAGACAGCTTAATTGTGTTAATTGTAACTTCTCACTCAGCTCGTAGGTAAATGTGAATTAGCACGCGGGAGAACGTGCTTGGGTTAATGCACTTTATATCTCTGAAACGTTTTTAATAAACCCATTAAGACATAAATTAGTTGCGGCAGCTGCTCCTTCCCTCTCTTTTTCAAGCCATTAGGAGTGAACCATTTAGTCAATAAGGCCTTTTTCCATCTTCATGGGGAATGTGTGCATTAGCACATATTTAGCATGTTGGCGTGTATTGCTCACACGGATATTATCCTACGCACCATCCATTCACACCTCCCATTGGGCTCGTTGCCTGTTACTGTAATTAAGCTGACCCACAACGTTTTTTAATAACAATAATGGATTTATTTTATGTAGTGCTTTTCATTACAAGGAAAAAATCTTAGTCGCTTTAAAATAAAAAATAAAGATTAAGGGATCGGCAGGTCTTTGGCGAGGGTTTTCCACATAAAGAGTCTAATTTAGTGTAAAATACTGGTATGAAATGTGCATTTTTCCAAGATTATAATTTGTCCTCCAAAAATGCTAATTTCAATCACCATCTTAATATTAGCTGATCTATCACCTCACCTACTATATGTCTGCGTAGTGCATACTAATTTGGAAAGATATAGGTCTACCATTGACTTCCTTCATCATTGTAAACCTTGGTTGACAATACGCTGACATGGATTAGTTCAAGCAGCTAATGTGAATGTATTATGATTATGCAGAGTAGGCATACGTTTTCCCTAACCATTGATACAGGGTTGGGTGTTTTTGTCAGTAGGAAAAGGCTAGGACTGGGTAAATGCTAATCTGATTCTAGATCTGTGATCAAGAGAAACTATTGCTGAGTCAGTGGTCTCAAGTTTCTTCAGTCCATCTTAACCTCTCTCTCGCTCACTCTCACTCTTACTCTTACCCTACGGTCAGACTGGAGAGCCTATGGCATGATGAGCTGAAACAGAAGGGGAAAGAAGAGGCATCCCTGTCCCGTGTCTTCTGGAGGTTCTGCCAGACCCGCATGCTGGTCGCCATCTTCTCCCTCCTCATCACCATGGTCACCGGCTTTGTGGGGCCCGTAAGTACACTCCAAATCTGCTTTCTTTATTTTTTTCTGCTGATTCAGCTAACATTGGCAGTCCTCATTCGGTCTGCATACTGGCTCAGCCCTATTCCCAATGTAGTGCACTACTTTTGACCAGGGCCCATAGGACTAAGTAGTGCACTCTGCAGGGAATAGGGTGCCATTTGGGAAGTACACTGGCTCTGTCCGAGTGTATAAAAAATAAAAGCACTATCCCATTTCACGCTAGTCTGAAAATGTAAATGAAAACATACCAGAAGATTACAAAGCTTTAGATGGTGAGACCCATATTAATCCTCCAGATTAGCCAGTGTGTACCATGGTCGCACTATGGCCCAGAAATATGCAGTTATTTTCCAACTGCCACACTTTGGGCTTAATTTTCTCCCTCCTCCTATCTAAAATACCCCAAATTAGCCTCGAACAGCAGTGAAACGGAAAAGTGCTGACAGTACAGTACATTGCAGTACAATGCGGGCGCTTATTACAGCCATATTAAATTACATTTCAGATGAAAGGCAATTAAGTTTGGAGTTCCCGAAATGCGATATTATTGAGTGGCTGTATTGTTTCCACCACCTCTAGCTTTTTATTTGGATGTCATGCTAGGGCTACGTGTGGCGTGATACGTGCTAGCAGCTTTCCTCATTCCCATAATAGAGTTAACTGGATTTACTAGTTACACAATTACTCATTTGTCTAACATTCCTGTCTGGGTGCTCTGTAGGCCTACTGTATAGATGTATTTGGCATAGATTGGACTATAGTACGCACTATAGAATGCACCTTATAAAGTCTCCAGTTCACTCTACCTCTGATATCCTCCTACATTTTTGTCTTCTGCTCGAAATGCTAACTCTTTCTCTCTTCCTCCCTCTCTTCCTCCTTCTCTTCCTCCCCTCTTAGAGAGCTTCCTCCTCCCTCTCTCTCTCTCTCTTCCTCTTCTCTTCCTCTCTCTCTCTCTCCCTCTCTCCCGCTCTCCTTCCTCCCTAGGGAGAAGAGAGGAAGAGTCTTCGAGGAAAAGAGAGGAGAGGGATGGAAGATCGAGAGGTAGAGAGAGATCCTGCCTCCTCGTCTCCACTGCCAGCTCTCAGCACGCTCTCCGAAGTCAGTCTCTCTCCCTGCCCTCACTCGCTGCATTCGACTCCAGTCTCTTCCGTCTCTACTCGCTCGATCGCTCCTACTGTCTCTGTCTCCTCACTCGTACTACTTCTCACCTGTCCCTATCCCTGTCCGTCAGTCTCCGATCTCTCTCAGTCTCCCATTCCTCGCGTACTCATCCTCTCCTTCCTCCTCTCTCGCTCTCTCTCGAACTCTTCCTCATTCACGTCCTCTCCTGCTGCCGCTCTCGATCTCCTGTCCTGGCTCCTCGCCGTCTTGCACTCTCTCTGGCACTACGTCCTTCCTCCGGGACTCTTTCGCTGCCTCCCTTCCTCCTTTCTTCCGTCCCGTCCTACACGCTCTCTCCGTCTCTCGACGACTCGCTCTACTCCTGCGTCCCGTCTCTGCCCTCATGCTCACTCTGCTCCCTCTGCATGCCTACGCACATCGTCGTTACTCGCCTAGAGCTGCCTCTCCTCGTTCCCTCTCTCCCGTTGCCTCCTCTCTCCTCTCTCCTCTTCCTCTCCCTTCCTCTCTCTTTTCTCCCTCTTCCTCCCTCTTTTCCTCCCTCTCTTCCTCCCTCTCTCTCCCTCTCTCTCTTCCTCCCTCTCTTCCTCCTTTCTTAACCCCCCTTTCCCACCTTCACCGGTATTCCCATTCCCAGGCACTCCTGGTCCGTGCCCTGCTGGAGTATTCTCAGAGTGCGGAGAGCTGGCTGCCCTACGGCCTCTCCCTGGTGGCGGGGATCTTCTTGATGGAGCTGATGCGCTCCTGGTCGCTGGCACTCATGTGGGCCGTCAATTACCGCACCGCCACTCGCCTCCGGGGTGCAGCGCTCACATTCGCCTTTCACAAGATACTCCGCCTTCGCAGCACCAAAGACATCAGTGCTGGAGAGGTGAGTGTTTGTTAGCCTGGTCCCAGATCAGTTTGTGCTGTATAGCCAACATCTCTGTTCATTGCCATGCCTGGTCCCAAACAGATCTGGGAACAGGCTAGGGTGTTTGTGTGATACCTTCAGTTCTGAAAGTGAAATGCACTTGCACTTCTAGTGGTTACATTGCAGGTGTGTCTCAGATAACAAATAGTTTCATTGGATCAGTTTCATGAAACAAACATAACAATGAAAAAAACTCCCACCCACTGCACTCGTGCAAAGTATAATTTTGTATTGTGCCAACGTCTCAGCCTTTTGTCCTTTTTCAAAGCCATGCACTACTGTTGAAATAGTTTGGGGTCAAGTCAAATGTCAGCTTATTCTCATTGCAGCATTTCAGCTTTCTTTGGGTTAATTTCGTTCTCTTCTTTGACTGACTATGTCTTTGTGAAGTAAATGGTCTGTTTCAATGTGTCCTCTATTATTCTGTGTCAATGTCCATACCTACAGCTGATCAACATCTGCTCCAGCGATGGCCAGCGGGTATACGAGGCAGTCTCAGTGGGCTGTCTGCTGGCCGGTGGCCCACTTGTGGGTATCCTGGGTCTGTCCTACACCACTTACTTCCTGGGACCCACTGCATTGGTTGGATCAGCCATCTTCGTCTTCTTCTACCCTGCTATGGTAGGAAGTCCTCCACATACTAACAAAGGAATGCACACCATATGAAAGTGCTGACTAATAAAAAAAATCTGAACGGATATCGAAAGGAAAGTTACACACGCCACTCTCCTCTGACACTGTTTATTTAACTCAGAGGCATCTTAGTGCTACCTTAGCTTCATACAGTTGTAGCTTATGTATAAGGTTTAGTTACTGAACATTTTGTCCACTAAAAAGGTAAACACCATTATTTTGTCAGCAGTGTCCCCACAAATGTTACTTGGAGCGTGATTACACTGAAGTTATCTCACTCTCAGCACTTGGTAATTCATGAATTGTCTTTCCTGTTTATAGTATTAGTCATAAACAGAATCATATTTTCCCATAACTGTAAGAACTAAAGTGAAAGTCCTTCACTTCACAACACAACCTGTTTGTTCCCCTTAACTTCCCCAAAACTCCTTCCCCAAAACTCTCCACCTGCCAGCCTGCCAATCTCCTGTCGACTTTAGTGTTGTTCCTCTTAGAGATTCATTAGCTTCAGTCTGAAGCCTGCCTGTTGGGGACCTTAGTATTGATATGGAAGCCGTTTATAGCCTGTTCCCTGCAGTAACCCTGACGTACAGCTGATGCAATATGGCTGTGTCTGCATCCCAAATGGTACCCTATTCCCTATACAGTGCACTACTTTTGACCAGGGCCCAAGGGATTCTGCACTCGGGCTCCCGAGTGGCGCAGCGGTCTAAGGCACTGCATCTCAGTGCTAGAGGCGTCACGACAGATCCCCTGGTTCGATTCCAGGCTGTATCACAACCGGCTGTGATTGGGAGTCCCATAGGGCGGCGCACAATTGGCCCAGCGTCCGGGTTTGGCCGGTGTAGGCCGTCATTGTAAATAAGAATTTGTTCTTAACTGACTTGCCTAGTTAAATAAAGGTAAAATAAAAATAAATAAAAAGGGAATAAGGTGCTATTTGGGACATAGACTGTGTCTGCTTTCATTTCCCCCAACTGTCACACACATTTCTCCTCTGTTCCTTCTTTTCTTTCTTCTCCCCATCCGGGAAAGATGCTGGCATCGCGTCTCACAGCGTATTTCCGTAAGAAGTGCGTGGTAGTGACTGACCGGCGCGTGAGGCTCATGAACGAGATCCTTGGCTGTATCAAGTTCATCAAGATGTACTGCTGGGAAAACGCTTTCGCTCAGAACATTCACAGTGAGTGACTGGTTGCACGCGAACACACACACGGCTTGTATTTTTTGGTCAGGTCACTTGGTCAGGAAAAACACAAGGCCCGAGTCATCATTTTTATGACACAGTGACTCAGCAAAAATCATAATACATGACTCACTTCCTGTTTTGCATCTGGGTTAAGGGAATTATTTCCAACTGAGAATGTGCCACTTCCTTAATTTGACTAATATTGACATTTTCCTCTCGGTTAGGCCAATTCTATTTCAATTCCAGTCAGTCCAAGAAATTCAACCCATTACCTGAAACACATTAGTTCAAATCCTCCAATCATCAATTCAAATTAGACTCATCCCCGGAATTGACCCGGCAACTCCGTTCCCATTAGATTCCATTGGCTTAGATTCCCTCCCTGTCCTTCCGCATTACGCAAGCCCTGATTGGATCCCTGCGCCCCAAGGTTAATTAGAAAAGTGTTTAAAGCTCTTTGATACCTAAAGACCTGCAGAGGGTTGTTCCACTTAGAGGAGATTGAAGAGTTAGAGGGGGGCATTTCTCATGAGGCTCTACATTGTGGATAAGAAGCATTTGGTGCTTTTAATCATGACTGTAATTAGACAGGTGGGACTCATATCCTCATATCAGCCCATCGTTTGGATGATAAAAATAATAATAATACCTATTATTATGATAATTAATTGGACGTTCATCTTAAGGGATATCGGGTGTTTAATATCAAGAATTGTGATATCGTTCTCTTCATTAGTGTTATTGTTCATTGACAGCCATATTACACCTGCTGATATCAATATGCATTGCCTTTGTAGCAGTTTCTACAAAGGCAATGCAATTGTAATGTGTTAACTAAGTAGGAGTAAATCTAACAACACTGCAGTGAGTCCCTGGAGAAAAATATGAAATGTGTTAGGAGGAGTGGAGTCATGTTAGTAGCCTTAGCTGTGTGAGAAAAAAATTAACCTTGTCTTGTAGCCAGAGTGCACTGAATGGACTTTTGAATGAAGCAGCCTGCACATACATTTGGGAGATGTACACAAACATGAACACAAGGAGGGCAAGATGGGCACTTGACTTAGACAGCTGCCAATGGCCCACAATTTTAAAAGTCAATTTTATACCGTTTATGGCTGCGAGGCCCAACTTGTCTCTTTTATTTCTATCCATGTCTGGAAGTGTCTGTCTAATGTTGTTTGGGGATGAATACAAAATATACAGTGCCAGACTAAGTTCCTGAAAGACTCACCAGTGGTAATACAAGACGAGCACATTGTCTGTTTTCTGTCTGTGCTCTCTCTCGCTCTCACACGCTCTGTCTGTCTGTCTGTCTGTCTGTCTGTCTGTCTGTCTGTCTGTCTGTCTGTCTGTCTGTCTGTCTGTCTGTCTGTCTGTCTGTCTGTCTGTCTGTCTGTCTGTCTGTCTGTCTGTCTGTCTGTCTGTCTGTCTGTCTGTCTGTCTGTCTGTCTGTCTGTCCCAGAGGTGCGATCAGAGGAGAGGGGGATATTGGAGAGGGCTGGTTATGTTCAGAGCCTCACAGTGGGCGTGGCTCCCATAGTCGTGGTGATTTCCAGTGTCTGCACATTCACGCTACACATGGCCTTGGGTTATGACCTCACTGCAGCCCAGGTAAGCCCCTCTGTCACTAGCTTTTAAAGAATCAAGTGCTTTTTCAGGAATCGAGTGCTCTTTTCTTAGCCTTTACCGGTAGCTTTTGTTAATGTTTGTGTTTGTATAAAATCCATAGAAAGCTCCCGGTAGCTTTTAAAGAGATGGAATTTCACCAAATTAACTCTACTTGACCCCTCCTCCCTCTGTTGCTCCCTTCAGGCCTTCACCGTTGTTGCAGTCTTCAACTCAATGACCTTTGCCCTCAAGGTCACGCCCTTGGCTGTAAGAGCTTTATCAGAGGGTTCTGTGGCAGTCAACCGATTTCAGGTAGAAGAAATACAGATGAGATCGTTGTACAAAAATTGGGAATGATTGTGGGACTAAGTCAACTAGCATTCAGTCAGCAAGGACTGTTGTCAGCACAACACTTAAAAATGGACATATTAATTAATAATCTCCTCATGCAAATATTCAATGTCCATCTTATCATATCTGTGTCAACAGAGACTCTTTTTGATGGAGGACCGAGAGGTTGTAATGGCCAAAACGGACAACCCTATGAATTCCGTGGAGTTCCGTGACGCCACGTTGGCTTGGGAGAAGGCCAAAGCTCCCGCCAAAGCCATCACTGTCCCCAAGAAGAAAAGAGGCGGGATGCGACGTGTGCTGCGCAAGGAGAAACTGAGCCTGTATATCATTGCAGAGGAGGGTAAGGGGAACAACGAGGGTCCCAATGGACAAAATCTCCTCACCCACATGGAACAGGAGAGCCCCCAGAGCACCATCTCCTCCACCCAGAGCTCCACCATCCGCCCGCCGCTGCACAAGACCCTGCATCGCATCGATCTGTGCATCAAGAAGGTAAACGTCTCATTTACAAATATACACTACCGTTCAAAAGTTTGGGGTCACTTAGAAATGTCCTTGTTTTCGAAAGAAAAGCACTCCTCTCAGACTGGCCAATAAAAATAAAAGATTAAGATGGACAAACTGAGATAAAGGCTTTTTCTTTGCAACTCTGCCTAGAAGGTCAGCATCCCGGAGTCGCCTCTTCACTGTTGACGTTGAGACTGGTGTTTTGCGGGTACTATTTAATGAAGCTGCCAGTTGAGGACCTGTGAGGCGCCTGTTTCTCAAACTAGACACTCTAATGTATTTGTCATCTTGCTCAGTTGTGCACTGGGGCCTCCCACTCCTCTTTCTATTCTGGTTAGAGCCAGTTTGCGCTGTTCTGTGAAGAGAGTAGTACACAGCGTTGTACGAGATCTTCAGTTTCTTGGCAATTTCACGCATGGAATAGCCTTCATTTCTCAGAACAAGAATAGACTGACGAGTTTCAGAAGAAAGTTATTTGTTTCTGGCCATTTTGAGCCTGTAATCGAACCCACAATTGCTGACGCTCCAGATACTCAACTAGTCTCAAGAAGGCCAGTTTTATTGCTTCTTTAATCAGCACAACCGTTTTCAGCTGTGCTAACATAATTGCAAAATGGTTTTCTAATGATCAATTAGCCTTTTAAAATTATAAACTTGGATTAGCAAACACAACGTGCCATTGGAACACAGGACTGATGGTTGCTGATAATGGACCTCTGTACGCCTATGTAGATATTCCATAAAAAATCAGCCGTTTCCAGCTATAGTAGCCATTTATAACATTAACAATGTCTACACTGTATTTCTGGTCAATTTTATGTTATTTTAATGGACAAATAAATTGCTTTTCTTTCGAAAGCAAGGACATTTCTAAGTGACCCCAAACTTTTGAATGGTAGTGTACGCATGCACACATGCACACGCATGCACAAACACACACACACACACTCTAAAGGATCGAGTCACTGGCACTGGACAGATAAATGGATTAATGGCGCCGAAGAAGATGGCAGCCGTTTTACAGCCCTCTAACCAGTTGTACTAATATGTGTGTTTTTTCGTGTTAATTTGTAATTTATTCTGTACATAATGTTTCTGCCACCGTCTCTTATGACCAAAAAGAGTTTCTGGATATCAGGACAGTGATTACTCACCTCGTATTGGACGAAGATTTTTTCTTCAACGAGTCGGACGCGAAGGATATCCTGTAGACACCCGACAAGGCCCAAATCCCCGTCATTCGCGTGAGAAAGAGACGGAGATATCGTGGACGTAGGTCGGGGTGCCTTGTAAGGATCCGATGGCGAGCGAGTAAACTGCCTCTTCCATTAATCCTATTAGCCAATGTTCAATCATTTGAAAATAAATATGATGACCTAAGATTACGGTTATCCTACCAACGGGACATTAAAAACTGTAATTTCTTATGTTTCATCGAGTCGTGGCTGAACGACGACATGGATAACATAAAGCTGGCAGGATATACGCTACATCGGCAGGATAGAACAGCTGACTCCGGTAAGACAATGGGTGGCAGTCTGTGTATATTTGTAAACAACAGCTGGTGCATAAAATCTAATACTAAGGAAGTCTCGAGGTTCTGCTCGCCTGAGGTAGAGTATCTCATGATAAGCTGTAGACCACACTATTTACCAAGAGAGTTTTCATCTATATTTTTCGTAGCTGTCTATTTACCACCACAAAACCGATGCAGGCACTAAGATTGCACTCAATGAGCTGTATAAGGCTATAAGTAAACAGGAAAACGCTCATCCAGAGGCAGCGCTCCTAGTGGCCGGGGACTTTAATGCAGGGAAACTTAAATCCGTTCTACCTAATTTCTACCAGCATGTTAAATGTGCAACCAGAGGGAAAAAAACTCTAGACCCCCTTTACTCCAAACACAGAAACGCGTACAAAGCTCTCCCTCGCCCTCCATTTGGCAAATCTGACCATAACTCTATCCTCCTGATTCCTGCTTATAAGCAAAAACTAAAGCAGGAAGCACCAGTGACTTGGTTAATAAGCAAGTGGTCAGATGACACAGATGCTAAGCTACATGACTGTTTTGCTAGCACAGACTGGAATATGTTCCGGGATTCTTTTGATAGCATTGAGGAGTACACCACATCAGTCACTGGCTTCATCAATGAGTGCATCGATGACGTCGTCCCCACAGTGACCGTATGTACATACCCCAACCAGAAGCCATGGATTACAGGCAACATCCGCACTGAGCTAAAGGGTAGAGCTGCCGCTTTCAAGGAGCGGGACTCTAACCCGGACGCTTATAAGAAAACCCGCTATGCCCTCTGACGAACCATCAAACAGGCAAAGAGTCAATACAGGACTAAGATTGAATCGTACTACACCGGCTCTGACGCTCGTCGGATGTGTCAGGGCTTGAAAACTATTACAGACTACAAAAGGAAGCACAGCCACAAGCCGCCCAGTGACACAAGCCTACCAGACGAGCTAAATCACTTCTATGCTCGCTTCGAGGCAAGTAACACTGAAGCATGCATGAGAGCATCAGCTGTTCCGGATGACTATGTGATGAGCTCTCTGTAGCCGATGTGAGTAAGACCTTTAAGCAGGTCAACATTCACAAGGCCGCAGACAGATTACCAGGACGTGTACTCCGAGCATGCGCTGACCAACTGGCAAGTGTCTTCACTGACATTTTCAACATGTCCCTGACTGAGTCTGTAATAGCAACATGTTTCAAGCAGACCACCATAGTCCCTGTGCCCAAGAACACTAAGATTACCTGCCTAAATGACATTTGTCCCGTAGCACTCACGTTTGTAGCCATGAAGTGCTTTGAAAGGCTGGTCATGGCTCACATCAACACCATTATCCCAGAAACCCTAGACCCACTCCAATTTGCATACCGCCCCAACAGATCCACAGATGATGCAATCTCTATTGCACTCTACACTGCCCTTTCCCACCTGGACAAGAGGAACACCTACATGAGAATGCTATTCATTGACTACAGCTCAGCGTTCAACGCCATAGTGCCCTCAAAGCTCATCAATAAGCTAAGGACCCTGGGACTAAACACCTCCCTCTGCAACTGGATCCTGGACTTCCTGACGGGCCGCCCCCAGGTGGTAAGGGTAGGTAACAACACATCTGCCACGCTGATCCTCAACACAGGGGCCCCTCAGGGGTGCGTGCTCAGTCCCCTCCTGTACTCCCTGTTCACCCATGACTGCATGTCCAGGCACGACTCCAACACCATCATTAAGTTTGCCGACGACACAACAGTGATAGGCCTGATCACCGACAACGATGAGACAGCCTATAGGGAGGAGGTCAGAGACCTGGCCGTGTGGTGCCAGGATAACAACCTCTCCCTCAATGTGATCAAGACAAAGGAGATGATTGTGGACTACAGGAAAAAAAAGAGGACTGAGCACGCCCCCATTCTCATCGACGGGGCTGTAGTGGAACAGGTTGAGAGCTTCAAGTTCCTTGGTGTCCACATCACCAACAAACTATCATGGTCCAACACCAAGACAGTCATGAAGAGGGCACGATAAAGATTTGGCATGGGTCCTCAGATCCTCAAAAAGTTATACAGCTGCACCATCGAGAGCACCTGACTGGTTTCATCACTGCCTGGTATGTCAACTGCTCGGCCTCTGACCGCAAGGCACTACAGAGGGTAGTGCGTACGGCCCAGTACATCACTGGGGCCAAGCTTCCTGCCATCCAGGACCTCTATACCAGGCGGTGTCAGAGGAAGGCCCTCAAAATTGTCAAAGACTCCAGCCACCCTAGTCATAGACTGTTCTCTCTGCTACCGCACGGCAAGCGGTACCGGAGCGCCAAGTCTAGGTCCAAAAGGCATCTTGACAGCTTCTACCCCCAAGCCATAAGACTCCTGAACAGCTAATCATGGCTACCCGGACTATTTGCATTGCCCCCCCCCCCCCCCCCCCCCAACCCACTCTTTTACGCTGCTGCTACTCTATTTATTATTATTTATGCATAGTCACTTTAACGCCACCCACATGTACATATTACTTCAATTACCTCGACTAACTGGTGCCCCCGCACATTGACTCTGTACCGGTACCCCCTGTATATAACCTCCCTACTGTTATTTTATTTTACTGCTGCTCTTTAATTATTTGCTATTTGTATTTTTTTCTTAAACTGCATTGTTAGTTAAGGGCTTGTAAGTAAGCATTTCACTGTAATGTCTACACCTGTTGTATTCGGCGCATGTGGCAAATAAAATTTGATTTGATTTGAGCCTACAGGCACTTTCAATTATAGTAGTGCAATTCATGAAAAATGAGAATGGCTGAAAGAATAGACAATTAGAGAGAGTCAAGGTTGTACCACAACACTGAGTGCATTTCAAGTACAAATCCATACTAATACATCACTGGTATCATTCTGATCTGCAGGGGACGCTGGTAGGAATCTGTGGAGGTGTGGGGAGCGGAAAGAGCTCGCTTCTGTCCGCTCTACTGGGACAGGTGAGGATCTAGATCATTGGCCTTCAAATATCACCAGTTTACTGAGGTGTGTTTGAATAAGCCTGAAATTTGCACTTTTGGGACTATTCCATTGGTTCCATTGTACTGGGCAAATGAAGTCAAACGCAGCTCAAGTATTTCCCTCTAGTGAAAGCATTTGACTTTTGGCCCAGGTCAGCTTTACCTCTAGTATGTTTTAACATTAGTCTTATCCCTGGTGTTCAACAGATGACCCTGCTGGAGGGCAACGTGGCGGCCAGTGGCGGCTTTGCCTATGTAGCTCAACAGGCCTGGATCCTCAACGACTCACTGAGAGAGAACATCCTGTTCGGAAAAGAATACGATGAAGACAAGTAAGATTGATTGACAACTCAGACAATTCTGAGGGATAATAGTGCTGGATTTAGCTAGATGGCTCATTTTCATCTGTAGTCCATGACAAACCACATTTGGATGTCATAGTTTGATAGTTTCACATTGACAAGGTCCAAAGGCATTTCTAACTCATGGCTTACTAATTTCTCTGGACCATGACTGTGTTTCCCTCTCATGTTAACCCATGTCCTTGGCTGTGTTTCCTTATTAGGTATAATTCTGTGCTCGATGCCTGCTGCTTGACCCCTGATCTGACAGAGCTGCCCTATGGGGATATGACTGAGGTATGTATCAGACCTCTATTACATCTCTCTGTTGGATATCCTCTCAATATGAACTCTGGCCACACTGTACAATACATTGACCTTACAGTATACGAAAGTAGCAGAAAGTGGAATAACTATGTAACAGGCTAGTAAGTAGTACATGCATTTATAGATGGAATGCTTTGGGGTGCACTGTAGTATTATTAATTATTAAGTGTTATGTAACTATCTTGATGTCCTTATCTTATCTGGCCTATGATGCCCTTGTATTGAGATATATTCCTTGATACATTTAGTCAACATTGTCTCAATGTTCTCACTCTAGATAGGGGAGAGGGGTGCCAACCTGAGTGGCGGGCAACGCCAGCGGGTGAGCCTGGCACGTGCCCTGTACAGCGAGCGACCCATCCTGCTCTTAGATGACCCTCTTAGTGCTGTGGACGCCCACGTGGGCTCTCAGCTCTTCCACAACGCCATCCGCACAGTGTCCAAGGGCAAGACCATCATCTTTGTCACACACCAGCTTCAGGTAAAATGAGCTTCTGATTATCTGAATGATGTGAGATACAAAACGATTTGCAGCAAATAAGTGACTTGTGTACTATGACGAAATGATCGGAAATGGTTTTCTTACTCCTGTACAATGCATTCATGATCTGAAATGGAATGCTTAATCTGAAAAGGACTACTAGTGAAAGGAAATTAGAGAAACCCTATCTAGGCTTTGCTTTCTCCTATATAGATACAGTAGGTCAGTGATCATTGTGCAACTTGAGCTTTCACACAAATCTCTCATTGACATGAATGTATAATGTCTAAGTTAAGGATGTCAAGAATTTGGCCCGAATAGATAAAGCAGAGGAAAGGGAGCCATATCGAAATATAGAGGAGCATACTATATCCCAGGATCCTGCATCAGGAGAATCACATATATCACTGGTGTTGACCCTCTCTCAGTACCTGGCAGAGTGTGACGACGTGATTCTGATGAAGGACGGGCAGATTGCAGAGCATGGCACCCACACCCAGCTCATGGGCAGAGACCGTGACTACGCCACCCTCTTAAACAGTGTACAGCGTGAGGTAATGCCAACTACGGAGCGCATGCCTGGTCACATATGTGTTTGTGCTGTTTTACTTTAGCCTGGTCCAAGATCTGTTTATGCTGTCTTGCAAACAGATCTGGGACCAGGCTAGTCTTGCCAACTTCTATGGTCATTGTCATGCATTGGCATGAGTTGACAAGACAGCACAAACTGATCTGGGACCAGGCTAGTCCAGCTCCAGCTCTCCTTTATGTAAAAACACCTTTGTCATCACTCTTTACACAATAACATTGCACGTCCATCCTGCATAATTCATGAGGCAGGAGAAGCCAAGCGGGTGGCTGGAAAATGATAGCGCATACAAGGCCTTTCATTATTTATGCGTGCATTGATTTACCGGTGTCGCACCGCTAAAGACCCTGTCACCAATATCTGTTTAAATTACTTACTGGCCATTGTTATGGCTTGGCCGTAATTTGTGGGGTCTTATGCTGTAGCTTTCTCTGGCTTTCTTTCCTAGAACCTGGTGAAAAAGAACCTGAAGAATAAGGAGAAGAAGGAGGGAGAGGAAAAGGTTGAGTCCACCGCGACTGTAGCCAAAGTCGTCAGACCTCCGATGGAGAAAAAGAAAGGTGGATAGAATGTGTTAATGTGTTCCTTCCAAAACAGTTGGCTTGAAATAAGGAAATGATTCACATGGGTCTTTTTTTCTTTTTTTCTTTTTTTTAACCAAACTTCCGCCCTTCTTTCCTTCTCTTTACTCTCCAGACCAGCTCATGAAAGCGGAGGAGAAGGGCTCTGGCGGCGTGGCCTGGGATGTGTACAAGGCCTACATCAAAGCGGCTGGAGGCCCTTATGCCTTCATCATCAACGTCATCCTCTTCCTCTTCACCACCGGCAGCATCGCCTTCAGTAACTGGTGGCTGAGCTACTGGATCCGCCAGGGCAGCGGGGTGAGTTTGGTTTTTCTGCACTGGATTCAAATGATGATCCACTCGATCAAAATGATGGCCTTACACACAGACACACAACTAGGATCAGATTACCATACGGATAATCCTTATTAGAATCATTAGAATGAAAATAATATGACCTTGTATCAGTGGGAAAGGGCAACTTCTGCCTACCTTGAGAGGTATATCTCAGTATAGTGTAGAGGCTATGTCTCCCACAAGAAAAACGACTTCTGCGCATTGCTGAGTTGTATTGGGGAAAGTGAGAGCGTTAATCTCAACACGTGTAATTAAAAAAGAAACGTGGTAAACATACTGTACCAGTCAAAAGTTTGGACAGACACACCTACTCATTCAAGGGTTTTTCTTTATTTTTACTATTTTCTACATTGTAGAATAATAGTGAAGAAATCAAAACTATGAAATAACACATATGTAATCATGTAGTAACCAAAAAAGTGTGAAACAAATCAAAATATATTTTATATTTATTATTCTTCAAAGTAATCACCCTTTGCGTTGATGACAGCTTTGAACACTCCTGGCATTCTCTCAACCAGCTTCACCTGGAATGCTTTTCCAACAGTCTTGAAGGAGTTCCCACTAATGCTGAGCACTTGTTGGCTGCTTTTCCTTCACAACTCATCCCAAACCATCTCAATTGGGTTGAGGTCAGGTGATTGATGCAGCACTCCATCACTCTCCTTCTTGGTCAAATAGCCCTTACACAGCCTGGAGGTGTGTTGGGTCATTGTCCTGTTGAAAAACAAATGATAGTCCCACTAAGCGCAAACCAGATGGGATGGCGTATCGCTGCAGAATGCTGTGGTAGCCATGCTGGTTAAGTGTGCCTTGAATTCTAAATAATTCACTGACAGTGTCACCAGCAAAGCACCCCCACATCATCACACCTCCTCCTCCATGCTTCACGGTGGGAACCACACATGCGGAGATCATCTGTTTACCTACTCTGCGTCTCACAAAGACACGGTGGTTGGTACCAGAAATCTCTAATTTGGACTCATCAGAGTAAAGGACAGATTTCCACCGGTCTAATGTCCATTGCTCGTGTTTCTTGGCCCAAACAAGTCTCTTCTTATTATTGGTGTCCTTTAGAAAGTGGTTTCTTTGCAGCAATTCGACCATGAAGACCTGGTTCACGCAGTCTCCTCTGAACAGTTGGAGACTGAGATGTGTCTGTTACATGAACTCTGTGAAGCATTTATTTAGGCTGCAATTTCTGAGGCTGGTAACTCTAATGAACTTATCCTCTGCAGCAGAGGTAACTCTGGGTCTTCCTTTCCTATGGTGGTCCTCATGAGAGCCAGTTTATCATAGCGCTTGATGGTTTTTGCGTCTGCACTTGAAGAAACTTGCAAAGTTCTTGAAATTTTCCGGATTGACTGACCTTCATGTCTTAAAGTAATGATGGACTGTCGTTTCTCTTTGCTTATTTGAGCTGTTCTTGACATAATATGGACTTGGTTTTTTACCAAATAGGGCTATCTTCTGAATACCACACCTACCTTGTCACAACACAACTGATTGGCTCAAACACATTAAGAAGGAAAGAAATTCCACAAATAAACTTTTAACAAGGCACACCTGTTAATTGAAATGCATTCCAGGTGACTACCTCATGAAGCTGGTTGAGAGAATGCCAAGAGTGTACAATGCTGACATCAAGGCAAAGGGTGGCTACTTTGAAGAATCTCACATTTTGATTGGTTACTACATGATTCCATATGTGTTATTTCATCGTTTTGATGTCTTCACTATTAATCTACAATGTAGAAAATAGTAAAAATAAAGAAAAACCCTGGAATGAGTAGGTGTGTCCAAACTTTTGACTGGTTCTGTAATTAAAAAAAGGACGAGCCGCCGAAAAACAGATGTGCTGCAAAGCTGTCGTCCATGTCAGATTGAAGGATGCATTTGGAATAGCGACATTATCCGAATGGCTGATTCGTTCATGTATTCTGTCTCGGATTCAGCACTCAGCTGGCTTTGTTTTATTTATTTCAGTCATTAGATAGAAATTCTGTTTTTTCCGAGGCGGCTCTGTGTGTGTTTCCTTCATGGGGATTTGTTGCTCCATCTGCTCTCAGAACACATCATTAATCCTGGAGAACGAAACCAATGAAACGGTGGCAGCGTTGGCAAACGATAGCATGAGGCTCAACCCTCATGTTCAATACTACTCAAGAGTTTATGTGCTGTCCATGGGGGCCGCTCTCTTCCTGAAGACAATGAGGGGGCTAGTGTTCGTCAAGGTAAGCATCTTGCTCAAATGTCTTTTAGAGTGGTTATTGTGGATTGTTCTCCCATCTTGATGTCAGGACCATTCATTGATGTACTCTCTGGCCTGTCAAAGGAGAGTGCATCACTGTTGCTTCCCAAATGGCACCCTATTCCCTGTATAGTGCACTACTTTTGACAAAAGCTCATACGGTACCATTTGGGACATAATCAGATTTTCATTGATTTACACTCAGGCCCTTTCAAAGGAAAGAGGTGCAAAGTGGTTGTGGTAGAACCTTGACTCCCTCTAATTGTCTATTCTTTCAGCCGTTCTCTTTTTCATGAGTTGTGCTACTATAATTTAAGTGCCTGCAGGCTAAATCCATTATCTGTCCAGTGCCATGACTCGCTGCTTTAAAGGGTGTGTGTGTGTGTGTGTGCCTCTGTGTGTCCCTGTCCCTTTGGATATATGTCCCCTTTTCTTTGCTAAACTTTTCTGACAGCCCATTACAGAGGTCATATCCCCATGGAATTGTGTGCCACTAACTTTCCAAAGATAGCTAATCTTAGTTTTTTACCCCTAGCTGTGACGTGAATGTGTTGGTGTTGGATATTCCATTAATAGATTTAGTGTGTTCTCTCCTGCCAAAAGTAATTTCTGTACAATTGGCCAGACGTTTCTCATTGAGTTAACTTAGACATGGGGTCGTAACCTTTCTGTGTCAGCCTGCCAGACATTCATTTATGTATGAGAATTTGACAGATTGCCTGACACAAGAAACATTCCACTTGCTTAACAGCACAGTGACCAGGCCCGGTGCCAGAATAAAGTGACTAAGGGGGCAGTTAAAATCAACGAGGGAGAAACATTTTCTGGGGTTCTTGCATTTGAATTCAATTGAATTCTGCTTATCACACTATACCACAATAAACATAAAGTTCAAATGCAGAGACTCTAAGACCGTTGAGTGCTTTTGAAGTGACAGGTTGGCGCGAAATCTGTAGGTTATCTAATTCACCTATTACAAACAGCCAATGTGAATGCAGCCCTACACAGCTGTCTTACCAAAATAATGCAAACTAAATGCTGAAAGTAGTAGCCTAGTTATTTATGCATGCAAACAAAAATACTGAATAGCAGTTTGGCTTAGAATACCGACAACTGCGAATGCGAACAAATTAAGGCCAACAGAACAAAACAGCGGTACCAAGTAGGCCTAGTAAACCAAATATCAGCTCGATAAAGGCATGACACAATCTATATTTAGGTTAGTTACATTAACAGTAAACAAACGCAGTAAACAAAAGGCGAATGTAGATCCAAATAACCAAAGCAAAGCCTACTACTACAGTGAGATGCAGCCATGCACTGCTGTCTTACCAAATAAATAGGCCTATAGGCCTGCCTCTAACATGGAAAATCATGGCGCTCATGAGTTCAGCAACACGTTGTGATATGGCACAATACACTTCTGTGGATCAAATTTGACCCACGCAATCAATTAAGCAATGCCAGCCTACCATAAACACGTTTTCCAATACGTACAGTTCCACTTACAACCACGAAAACCAATAGGCTACCAAGAGAACCATAATGATGAAATGCACCAATATGTAGCTATACCCAGGGGCGTCATTTGGGTTCTTGCATTTTAATTATATTAAATTATGCTTCTATCATGCTATACTAGGGCTGTTGCGGTGACCGTATTACCGCCACACCGGCAGTCATGAGTCATGACCGCAGTAAAATTCCACGGGATCGTTGAGTCATGGTAATCTCCTGTAATGCACTCTGGACATGCTTTGGTAGTACCCAACTTGCTAACGACCATCAGGTCCTAATGGCCTGGTTCACTAATGGCATGGTCCACTCTGACATCAATGCAAATTTACATTTACATCATTTAGCAGACACTCTTATCCAGAGCGACTTACAAATTGGTGCATTCAACTTATGATAGCAAGTGGGACAACCACTTTTTTTCTTCTTTTTTTTATGGGGAGGGGGGGGTAGAAGGATTACTTTATACTATTCCAGGTATTCCTTAAAGAGGTAGGGTTTCAAGTGTCTCCGGAAGGTGGTCAGTGACTCCGCTGTCCTGGCGTCATGGGGGAGCTTGTTCCACCATTGGGGTGCCAAAGCAGCAAATAGCTTTCACTGGGCTGAGCGGGAACTGTGCTTCTGTAGAGGTAGGGGAGCTAGCAGGCCAGAGGTGGATGAACGTAGTGCCCTCGTTTGGGTGTAGGGTCTGATCAGAGCCTGAAGGTAAGGAGGTGCCGTTCCCCTCACAGCTCCGTAGGCAAGCACCATGGTCTTGTAGTAGATGCTATCCTCAACTGGATGCCAGTGGAGTGTGCGGAGGAGCGGGGTGACATGAGAGAACTTGGGAAAATGCAATCGAAAATCACATCAAACGCTTATCAGAACAATATCATGCTTTTAAAACTCAGCTCACTATGATGATCAATTTGAAGAAAGAAGTGTAAAACATGGTCGTTGTGGATGTTATTTCAAAGCGTAACACAACGAAATGGACAGCGCTTTCTAAGGTGATGATTAGATCTTCAATAGCTTAGTATTGGGGAATGTTTTATATTTTCATAATTAATTGGGTGACACAATTACCTTGAGCTATACAGAATATCTCACCTCCATCCTTTTCCATCTCCTCCTCTCAATCCTTTATTCCTTCCTCGAGTGCGCAGAGGGGCTGCCAACAGTTTAGTGAAATATGTTTTGTTGCGAAAACATGTTTCTATTGATGTTCCCAAACAGATTTCACTTTGTTTCCCAAATTAAGCACTGGGTAGCTGCAGGAACAGGGTTGGAGAGCCCATGGCAAACAGAGTTGGGGCGGAATATCACCAGTCGCGCAGCGAGAGCATGCTCCTCAAACAGTGGTTGATGCGTGGAGTGAACTAAGTGTTCTTATATTTATTTCTCAGCTGCTCATATTAAGCACATGCTCCGCTATAAAACCGATGTAGCCTACGCAGCATCATTGGAAAATGGACCGGCGGGAAAGCGTGTGGCCTCCATTCGCTGTTTGAGTGCATACGATTGATGTATTTTTTCCCCTGCCCCTGTTCCTGCCCATTTGATAATGAGCCATTCTAAATCTAAACTAATTGTACATATTAATAAAGATTAAATAGAGAATATTCTGATGGGTGAAAATTTGATCACTTGACGAGAGAACAGCTGTGCAGCCTGAGGGAACAAACAGAGCGCAAGCTTATTTTTTTGACTTTCTCAAATCAATAGCCTATAGCCGCATCATGCAGCCCATATATGTTTTGATTTCTAAGACATTCTAAGGTTTGTATCATTCACAACTAAAGTTGACAAATAGCTCTTGTGTATACGACCTGTTTCAAATGATCACTTTTACGCTCAACATAGGCACTTCGTATGCGCACTTTCTCCGGAATGGGAAAAATATATTTTCTATTTTATTCAATTATATTCTTCTTACTATAATATAATATAAAATAATGGCATGGGACTTATAAGCATATCTTGTCAGCACCATGGACAGTGCCCTACACACTAAAGCAAGGCTGTTGAAAACCTATAGGCCGGCTAAGGAAGTCATTTTGCCATCCCATACCCTAGGTTTTTGCTGAAATGATGCCACTGGCTATACCCCCAAGATTTTGATAAAAAACCAACCAGCTCGATTTTCTTACCTTTTCAAAAGAGTTGCAGCCTCCTTGATGCTCTGTGGAACTTCCTGCATAATCGATCATAATATTCTACCCGAAATCTTATTGTAAGATCCCTCTCAAATGCCAGTTGGATTAGTTGAGCGTTCCTCGGGTGTAGCATGCTTCTTCTGTGGTTAAGTGCACATAGAGCCTCCATCAGTTGGCTGTTGCGTTTGCTGAATTGTGCTGACGTTTCACCAATGACAGCATCCAAGAACAATATTTTACACTCTGTCCTGCTGGCCTACTGTACTGTGCACCACGTATTGCTAGAGATTTGTGCTTACATAACGTTGTCCTAATTGCTTGAAGCTGGTGGTGTGTCAGTGCACTGAACTGTGCCCAAATGGCTTCGAACTCGCTGTCACACCTCAGCTTCTCGACACACTCCAACGCGCTGTGGACCACTTTGACTCCAGTGGAAAGATCCGTTGCTTTTGCCTGGGGTCATTTGTTTCGAGGATCGAGAAGACTGAGGATTCTGTGCAACATGGTGGCTGTAAACTTAAAGCCATGGTCCGTCACCGCCTTCAGCAGCTCTGTAGCCTCAAGTCTTACTTCTGTGTTGTACGGACGCATGCATTCGATGTCAGAGAGGAACTTCACAATGCTGTCAAACTTTTAATAACCACTGACACAGTAGCCAGGTGTCCCCTTCTCCTTTGGCTTTGTTTGGGTACCGACAGTGACTACTAATAGCGATGTGTCCCTATTAGTAGTCACTGTCGGTTAGCTAGCATTAGCAACATAGCATATGTGTTATATGAGTGTTAGTATGTGTACATAGCTGTGTATGCTGGCAATGATTCTCTAGGCTCTACTGGTATTATGTTTGCATTTGTTGCATCTGGGTGTTTGGGAAAGCTTTCCTGAGTCCCTACAATCTGTTTACCGGTGTTATGACTGTTTTGATGTATTTGTTATGTTTGCTTGTGTTATGTTTGGCTCCGTGTTCAAGCACATCTGTGTTTCTGTCTGACAGTGCACTGTTCGGGCTGCCTCGGTGCTCCACGACAAGCTATTCCGCCGCCTCCTCCTGAGCCCCATGCGCTTCTTTGACACGACACCGCTGGGCCGCATCCTCAACCGCTTCTCCCGCGACATGGACGAGGGTGAGGCACCCGATGATTTGCCTTGACTTCATACTCAGAGCATTGAGGTCCCCATACAACGCGGACAATCTGACAGTTGTTGTTTTATCTCTCTCTCTGTTGATCTCTTTGTCTATCTCTCTCTCCCTCTCCATCCACAGTGGATGTCCGTCTGGCCATGCAGGCTGAGATGCTGCTCCAGAACCTGACCCTGGTGCTCTTCTGCCTGGCCATGGTGGGCATCGTATTCCCCTGGTTCCTGCTCTCCCTCCTGCCCCTGGGAGCCTTCCTCCTCATTGTCAACCGCGTCTCCAGGTCAGGCTCCAACCAATGGATTTAGACGAGAGGGATTATGTTGGCTGTGTGTGTGTGTGTGTGTGTGTGCTGATTAAAATATAAGAAGTGTAGAGATGGATTAGGGTTCTGTAGGTCTTTGGGTAATATACAAAATCAGTGGGACAAGAAGCATGTTTGATTCACAAGATATAAAAAGTGCAGCTTTTTTTTGCAACACCCACACAAAAAGGTAGGATTTCCCCTGTACAGTGAGGGAAAAAAGTATTTGATCCCCTGCTGATTTTGTACGTTTGCCCACTAACAAAGAAATGATCAGTCTATAATTTTAATGGTAGGTTTATTTGAACAGTGAGAGACAGAATAACAACAAAATAATCCAGAAAAACGCATGTCAAAAATGTTATAAATTGATTTGCATTTTAATGCGAGAAATAAGTATTTGACCCCCTTTCAATTAGAAAGATTTCTGGCTCCCATGTGTCTTTTATACAGGTAACGAGCTGAGATTAGGAGCGCACTCTTAAAGGGAGTGCTCCTAATCTCAGCTTGTTACCTGTATAAAAGACACCTGTCCACAGAAGCAATCAATCAATCAGATTCCAAACTCTCCACCATGGCCAAGACCAAATAGCTGTCCAAGGATGTCAGGGACAAGATTATAGACCTACACAAGGCTGGAATGGGCTACAAGACCATCGCCGAGCAGCTTGGTGAGAAGGTGACAACAGTTGGTGCGATTATTCGCAAATGGAAGAAACACATAAGAACTGTCAATCTCCCTCGGCCTGCGGCTCCATGCAAAATCTCACCTCGTGGAGTTGCAATGATCATGAGAACGGTGAGGAATCAGCCCAGAAGTACACGGGAGGATCTTGTCAATGATCTCAAGGCAGCTGGGACCATAGTCACCAAGAAAACAATTGGTAACACACTACGCCGTGAAGGACTGAAATCCTGGAGCGCCGGAGGTCCCCCTGCTCAAGAAAGCACATATACAGGCCCGTCTGAAGTTTGCCAATGAACATCTGAATGATTCAGAGGAGAACTGGGTGAAAGTGTTGTGGTCAGATGAGACCAAAATGGAGCTCTTTGGCATCAACTCAACTCGCCGTGTTTGGAGGAGGAGGAATGCTGCCTATGACCCCAAGAACACCATCCCCACCGTCAAACATGGAGGTGGAAACATTATGCTTTGGGGGTGTTTTTCTGCTAAGGGGACAGGACAACTTCACCGCATCAAAGGGACGATGGACGCCGCCATGCACCATCAAATCTTGGGTGAGAACCTCCTTCCCTCAGCCAGGGCATTGAAAATGGGTCGTGGATGTGTATTCCAGCATGACAATGGCCCAAAACACACAGCCAAGGCAACAAAGGAGTGGCTCAAGAAGAAGCACATTAAGGTCCTGGAGTGGCCTAGCCAGTCTCCAGACCTTAATCCCATAGAAAATCTGTGGAGGTAGCTGAAGGTTTGAGTTGCCAAAAGTCAGGCTCGAAACCTTAATGACTTGGAGAAGATCTGCAAAGAGGAGTGGAACAAAAATCCCTCCTGAGATCTGTGCAAACTGGTGGCCAACTACAAGAAACGTCTGACCTCTGTGATTGCCAACAAGGGTTTGCCACCCCAAGTTCTAAGTCATGTTTTGCAGAGGGGTCAAATACTTATTTCCCTCATTAAAATGCAAATCAATTTATATAACATTTTTGACATGCGTTTTTCTGGATTATTTTGTTGTTATTCTGTCTCTCACTGTTCAAATAAACCTACCATTAAAATTATAGACTGATCATTTCTTTGTCAGTGGGCAAACGTACAAAATCAGCAGGGGATCAAATACTTTTTTACCTCACTGTATATGTTTTATGGGTCACGTCTAGCCTCCTACCCCCACAATGCATGATGAAGTAAATGTGATGAAATGGCGTGCCAAGTCACAACTCAGTGACTTTTCGAGATTTGTTATTCAGCATGACTCATCTGAATCGCATCAAACCGATTTCCTCATTTAAAAGCAAACCCAAAAGGCACCCTATTCCCTATATAGTGCATTACCTATGACCAAGGCCCGCACTAAATAGGGAATAGAGTGCCATTTGCGACACATCTCCTTTGTTGATGTGGTTTACTTTGCCAGTTGACATCGATAGATGAAAGTACCAACTGCATAAACATGTTTGTGTAGGTAACCTCACAACAAGGACTGTCATGTTCTTTCATGCTCTGTCCTCCCTCCCTGCCTGCCTCCCACCCTCCGCTTTATGAGAAAAAGGGATGATTTATTCGTGGTCAGATTTGTTATTCACATGCGCAGCCCATCCTATCTATGGACCTAAAAGTAGAACTCCACCCCACCTTTGTCAATAAACCCCTCTCTCTCACTTCCCTGCCGACTCAGTCTGGTGTAGTCCGGTCGTGGTAGTGTGGGTGTGTGGCTCATAAAATCGCACATAAATCAGAAATTATTCTAGCGGAGCCCAGAAATGGCGCGAGCTGTGCCAGGAAATGGTTGTCCTGGGCAGAATTACACTGACTCCCTGTGTCCTCTCATCATATCATAGTCCACTAACCTGTCAGATAACTGCACTGTCATTGGAGTTATAATGCAGTGTTTCTCAATCCTCTCCTCAAGCACCATCCCTAGATATTTCACAAGGCTGTTGTAGGAAAAAGGGTGTTTCATGCTCAAACAACAATGTTGCTGGCTGGGGGTCACAGAGTCACAGAAGGGTCACAGAGTAGAGGTTTTAGAAATGCTGAGTGAATTGACTTTTTTTACAATCCCTAAAGTGGTGCTCTGGTACGTTTATATGTAATAGACTTGACGTTCCACTTTCTGTTTTTCTGACTAGGGTTCTGATTCGTGAGCTGAAGCGTCTAGAGAACATCAGCCAATCACCTTTCACTTCGCACATCACCAGCAGTCTCCAGGGGCTGTCCACCATTCACGCCTACGGCAGAGGGGACGACTTCTTGAACAGGTGAGAACAGAATGGGAAAGACAAAATATTTAAGTGCCTTTGAACGGGGTATGGTAGTAGGTGGACCGGTGTGTGTCAAGAACTGCAACACTTTTTATTTTACCTTTATTTAACTACGCAAGTCAGTTAAGAACAAATTCTTATTTACAATGATGGCCAGGGTCAACGCTGGGCCAATTGTGCGCCGCCCTATGGGACTCCCAATCACGGCCGGGTTGTGATACAGCCTGGAATCGAACCAGGGTCTGTAGTGACGCCTCTAGCACTGAGATGCAGTGCCTTAGACCGCTGCGCCACTCGGGAACACTGCTGGGGTTTTCACGCTCAACAGTTTCCTGTGTGTAGAGAATGGTCCACCACCCACGGAACATCCAGCCAACTTGACACAACTGTAGGAAGAATTGGAGTCAACATGTGCCATCATCCTTTGCTTTCGACACCTTGTAGAGTCCATGCTCCGACGAATTAAAGCTGTTCTGAGGGCAACTCAATATGAGGAAGGTGTTCCTAATGTTTTGTAAACTCAGTGTATAGTGTTCATAGGTAGACACTTCCTTTGTCTGTCACAGGACGTGTGTTCAAACACTGTTAAGACATTGGTTTTGACAGTTCATGTCCAATTAGCTTCGCCCACCAGAAGTCTACCAAATGGCACAACTAATAATGAGATAATGTCCCTAAGTAACATTTCCTGGAGTTTGAGTTGAGTAGCATTTGATTTCTGCAGAGCTAATGTGGACACTGTGCAGCCTCTATCGTACGAGTTGGTTAGGGAAGCCAGTCTCACATTGAAACCCATGTGTGCCAGGCAGGCTTATAGGTGAGGAGAGTAGAATCCTGGCTAGCACAGCACATATGTCCAGTTTACCAGCCCCTTAAAGGGATACTTTGGGATTTTGGCAATGAGGCCCTTTATCTACTTCCCCAAAGTCAGATGAACTCGTGGATACCATTTTAAGTCTGCATGCAGTTTGAAGGAAGTTGCTCGCAATGACGCTAGTTAGCATTGGCTCGCGAAACTACCTCTAACTTCCTTCATACTGGACTCAGAGACATAAAAATGATCATTGCCAAAATTCCCGAAGTATCCCTTTAATGTATGTGTCCTTGGTTCAACATGTTTGGCCTGGACTCCCTCGACTCTCACCAAGTCCCTTGTTATTGGTCCTTAGACTCTCACCAAGGCTGCTATTTGTCCATTGACTCTGACTAAGTCTGTTATTGGTTTGTTGACTTTTACCAAGTCTATCTTATTGGCTGTTGACTTCCACAAAGTCTGTTATAAGTCCGTTGACTTTCACTAACCGTTGTTAGTGGTCTATCGCTGTGTATCTCAGGTACCAGGCTTTACTGGACACCAACCAGGCCTCCCACTACCTGTTTAGCTGTGCTATGCGCTGGCTGGCTGTACGACTGGACCTGATCAGCATTACTCTCATCACCACTGTAGCCCTGCTCATCGTTTTCATGCACAACCAGATCCCCCCAGCCTACGCAGGCTTGGCTATATCCTACGCCGTGCAGGTACACATACACACACACAATGTTAGAGTGTATTTTTGCTATGGTTGAATTATTTAGACTGCCCCTTTAATGGAAAGGCTTTTTTATGTATTATTTATAATTCCACTGTGGGATTACTACAGGCGTGGGAAGGAGTTCACTCTTAGGGAACTATGAATCTAAATTGATTGAGCCGAATGGAGAAGTATAGCCTTATCAGCATACCTGTCTATAGGGGTCGTAAAGGTTTATGGTTTGTGCTGCTCATTCATAGGGTATCATTGCACACTGGGACGGACACTAGTGTTGACATGGGTCTAGGTTGATTGTAATAGGGTGTGAGGGTGTTAATCATTGACTTATCGCTTCTCTCGCTCTCTTCTCTATCTCCCTCTCCGTCTCTCTCCTCTCCAGCTGACTGGTCTTTTTCAGTTCACCGTGAGGCTGCTGTCGGAGACTGAGGCTCGCTTCACATCAGTGGAGAGGATCAATCATTATATAAAGGTAGGTAGGCCTAATGACACCAGGGAGTGCTGCAAACAGTCTGGGGAAGGGTTGCTGATTGGCTGAACCATGTGTGGCTGAATCGAAAGTACACACATGCTGAGCCTGACACAAACAAACACACACCTATAGACTTAACGCAGCAGGACACAGGCACAGATGAAGCAACAACACACACACTTACACAGAGATAGGATACTCGCAAGCAGGCACACGCACAATACACATTACTGCGCACAGTGCACCCACACAACATCCCAATAACACAATGACATCCCAGCAGGAAGCCGATACAGAACCCAGTGTGTGGCCCGTTACATCACAGCACATGACAGGACCTGTTTCACACAACACCCATCAAACCATAAACACCCCCGTTCCCACGGGGGGCCAGTATGAAAAATGTATGCACTCACTAACTGTAAGTCACTCTGGATAAGAGCGTCTGCTAAATGACTAAAATGTAAAATATCAGAGGAACTCTGATAGAGGAACTTTTTCTCAAAGCGCCAACAAGCTTTTGGAGATCTATAAATACATTTTATGTTGAAAGGGAGGTGGCTTCACTTCTTGGGATTGGAGATACAGAGATTAACACTCGATATTGGATACATTTTTTCTGTCAGACCTTGGAGGGTGAAGCGCCGAGGCAGATCAGTGGGCCATCCTCTCCTGCCCCCTGCTGGCCAGATAAGGGACGGATCTCCTTCCAGGACGTGGAGATGTGTTACCGGGACGACCTGCCGATGGTGCTCAAGAAACTCTCCTTTAACATCCTGCCAGAGGAGACCATCGGAATTGTGGGTCGCACTGGTTCAGGTACTTACCGTCCTTTATTCCCATGTGTAGTTTTACATCGGTAATGTTTCATTTCATAGTCCCATTTCCACTGGTGTTTACCTGGTATTTACTAAGAAATAATGTAATAACAATGGTGTCGAATTGATTGTATTGGTGTTTGTTTTTGAATGATTCTCATAGAAACAAAAGAGTAGTCATTATCAAGTTAACTGTGATCTTCACATATTGGTGTGGTTATCATGTACACTGAGTAGTTCACTCCCAACCCCGTTTCTATCTATCCAGGGAAGTCATCACTGGGCGTATCTTTCTTCAGACTGGTGGAGCTGACTGGGGGCTCCATCACCATCGACGGCATCAACATTGCCCAGATTGGATTGGACGACCTGAGAAGCAAGCTGTCAATCATTCCCCAGGAGCCCGTTCTCTTCATTGGCACCATCAAGTATGTATGAATGATTTATTTAAGTTTCCCCTAGGTACAGATATATGATCAGCTTCCCCTCCCCCAATCCTAACCTTAACCATTAGTGGGAAAATGTACTGACCCCAGATCAGTGTCTGATTCTTTATTCTTATTTTTTCTTACCAAATAGGTCCAATCTGGACCCATGGAATCAATACTCAGATGCCCAGATCTGGGATGCACTTGAGAGGACCCATATAAAGGAGATGGTAAGTTGGGATAGATAGTCAATCGAAACATAAATAGAGTAAGCAATACATGTACAGATAACTATGTCAGTTTGACCCCAAATATATTGATACATGTCTGTTTAAAAATGTCAAGTAGTCTTTATTTTGGCATTATAGTATATATGCATTGCCTTATACGTCTTCAGATAAAGTGTTATTACTGCTGAGAGTAATTTATAACAGTAATTGTGTTTTGACTCTATTTTGTCTCCCATCATATTCAGATCAGCCAACTGCCCCATTCCCTCCAGTCCGAGGTGACAGAGAACGGAGAGAACTTCTCAGTGGGAGAGAGACAACTACTGTGTGTGGCAAGAGCACTGCTTAGACACAGTAAGGTAAACGCGTGCACATACACACTAGCGTCACGTCTCTTTCTCTCCACACCACACACACAGGACAATAGATGAGGGCAGTTAGATTAGATTTTTCTCTTTTCTGTTACCACATAGGAAAGCTTGGGTGCATCGTCACATCCTACTTTTGAGGTAGTCACATAAGAACATTGAGAATGTAAGGCAGCAGCTTCCCAAAGGTGTAACATTGCCACCACATGGCTTCTATTGCTATTTCACTCTGATTCTGTAGAATGCAGTTGTAAATACAAACAACTGAGGATGACAAAATACCTAGCATTTAGGGACTAGCCTAACATTAAAGTTATAACACTCCTTAAGATTATAATATACATGTCCATATTCAAAGACCCAACACTATTTTTCCAGTCTTTACTATATTGCTACTTCCTTTTTCTACCAACCTTAGTGATTGAACCATTCTCTGCAAAGTGTGCTTAAATGTGACATGTGTTGGGTGTTGCCAGATCTTGCTGTTGGACGAGGCGACGGCAGCCATTGACACAGAGACAGACCGGCTGATTCAGGAGACCATCCGCGAGTCGTTCAGCAGCTGCACCACACTGATCATCGCTCATCGCCTCAACACTGTGATGAGCTGTAACAGGATCATGGTGTTGGACCAGGGACAGGTGGGTCTTCTGCGCCATAGAAATATACAATGTGTCTCAAATGGCACCCTATTCCCTATGTAGTGCACTACTTTTAAAAAGGGCCTATAGGGCTCTGGTCAAAAGTAGCTCAAATCTATTGAATCATACGAAAGATGGGCTAATGTACTAAACAAAATATTTGATATACTACAGTATACCTAAAGGCACATTTCTGTTGTGAGTCAAAATACTTGTTGGTCAGAAAATACTTGAACTTAATTATTTTCTTAATTCCATAACAGATTTTGGAATTCGACACCCCTGCTGCCCTGCTGGCAGACGTAAACTCCAGATTCCGGGCCATGATCGGGGCATTTGACGGCAAGCTCAGTAACACAGAGAAGTGACCCCAGTCGAATGGGTACAAAGGAGCTCTTATAAAACAGGCAATGCAGCAGAGGACCTCACTTGCACAAACTTTGAAGATGAACATCCCAATCTTTCCATGGAGCGAGGAGGATGCGTTATTTTAAAAGGCAATAGTAGAGGTTCTTACAATTGCTGCTAAATCTAGAGAAGTCTGTTGATGTCAAAAACCAATGATGACTTCATGACTATGATGATGATGACAATGTTCCAAAAGATGCATCAAAGATGTGGATCTATGGAAAGTTGGGAGTATCATACCTGCTGACCTTTGCTGCTGTGTGGAAAGAGAGAATTTCTCTGAGGCCAAAAGAGCAAGTGCAAACGAAGGGGAACAGAGCCATGACTCTACAATGGCAGTTTAAATTCCATGAAATACTGAAGCTTTTGATAACACTGAATGTTGCTTCACCCTCTCTCGACAGTGCTATCAATGAGACTCGGAAGAGAACATTATCTATGCGTTTCACTGATTTAATTACAAGGAAACCTACAGGTAAGTGCCAAAATAAAGGAAACACCGACTTTAAAGTGTCTTGGGCCACCACGAGCCACCAGAACAGCTGCAATGCACCTTGGCATAGATTTTACAAGTGTTGGAACTCTATTGGAGGGATGCGACACCATTCTTCCTCAAGAAATTCCATCATTTGCTGTTTAGTTGATGGTGGTGGAAAATGCTGTCTCAGGCGCCGCTCCAGAATCTCCCATAAGTGTTCAGTTGGGTTGAGATCTGGTGACTGAAACACACACACATAAGATGGCGTCGCTGAGGAGGGCGTGTCTTGCCGGTTCCTGTTAGACTTTTTTTAAATGATTTTTACATTAATTATTACCTTGATTGCTCAGAATGTTTGTGCAATTTCCAACGACCGACAAACACTTCTGGATCATGAATCAGAAGCTGCACACTTCAACCTCCCAGATATGGAATACTACATTCGCTCCTTTGTTCCCCGCACCTGTTGCTGCTGACCAAGATGACCGAAGTCAACGCCGACGAGGAAGTAAAGGGGGACTCCAAGGGGTACGCTTCCTCATCAAGAATTCCTGGTGTACTGAAGTTGAAAACATCTCAAGCTCCTGTTGCCCCGACCTGGAGTTTCCGATGCAAAAATTCCGACCCCACTATATGCCGAGGGAATTCACGTGCGTCATTAACACAGCTGTGTACATACCGCCATAAGCAAACACCAAGGTGGTACTCAGCGAACTGTACAAGAACATTAGCCAGCATGAATCCTCTCACCCGGAAGCAGTCTTTATTGTCACGGGTGATTTTAACCAAGTATGTTTAAAACTATTTGTTTCTTCTCTGACATCTTCAACCTGTCCCAGACCATAGTCCCCACCTGCTTCAAGGATACCACCATCGTCCCAGTGCTCAAGAAAAACAAGGTGACATCCCCAAATGACAATCGCCCCGTCGCACTCACCCCGATCATCATGAAGTGCTACGAGAGGCTGGTTATGGCCCACATCAAGGCCAGCATGCCAGGCAAACTGGATCCACTCAAATTTGCCTACCGCTCCAACAGATCCATGGAAGATGCCATTTTCATCGCTATTCACACTGCCCTAACACATCTGGACAAGAGGATTGGCGGCACAACACCTCCTCCACACAGGGGTGTGTCCTCAGCCCTCTGCTGTACGCCCTGTTCACCAATGACTGTGTGGCTTTGCACGTCACCAACTCCATCATCAAGTTTGCTGATGACACCCCGGTTATAGGCCTGATAACCAACAACGATGAGTCAGCCTACAGGGAGGAGGTAAGTGAACTGGCATTATGGTGCCAGGACAACAACCTCTCCCTCAACGTCAGCAAAACAAAGGAGTTGATTGTTGACTTCAGGAAGCAGAGGAGGGAACATGCCCTGATACATATCAATGGGACTGTATTACAGAGTCAGCGGTTTTAAGTTCCTCGGCGTCCACATCACAGAGGACTTGACATGGAGCAACAACACCACCACTCTTGTCAAGAGGGCGCAACAGCGTCTCTACCTTCTAAGGTGGCTGAAGAAATTTGGCATGCCATCCCAGGTCTTCTCCAAAAACTACCGCTGCCCCATCAAGAGCGTCCTGACCGGTTGCATCACGGCCTGGTACGGGAATTGCGCCGTCCACGACCAGAAGACCCTCCAGTGGGTGGTGAAGGCGTTCTCATACATCACTGGGGCCGTGCTCCTACCCATCCAGGACATCTACTCGAAATGGTGCCTGAGGAAGGCCCGCAGTATCATCAAGGACCCCACACACCCCAGCCACTCCCTTAACATCGGGCAGACGATATCAGAGCATGAGGTCAGATACGAACAGGCTCAGAGACAGTTTCGATCTACAGTGCCTTCAGAAAGTATTGACCTATTCCACATTTTGTTGTGTAACAGCCTGAATTCAACATTTATTAAATTAATTTATTTTCTTAACAATCTACACACAATACAACATAATTACAAAATGAAAACACGTTTTTAGAAATGTTTTCAAATTGATTGAAAATTAAATACAGAAATATCTCATTTATATATGTATTCACACCCCTAAGTCAATGCTTTTTAGAAGCACCTTTGGCAGCGATTACAGCTGTGAGTCTTTCTGGGTAAATCTCTTAAGAGCTTTCCACACCTGGATTGTGCAACATTTTCACATAATTTTCAAAATTCTTCAAGCTCTATCAGATTGATTGTAGACAACCATTTTCAGGTCTTGCCATTAGATTTTCAAGTAGATTTAAGTCAAAACTGTAACTCGGACACTCAGGAACATTTACAGTCTTCTTGGTAAGCAACTCCAGGGTAGATTTGGCCTTGTGTTTTAGGTTATTGTTCTGCTGAAAGGTGAATTAATCTCCCAGTATCTGGTGGAAAGTAGACTGAACCAGATTTTCCTCTAGTATTTTGCCTGTGCTTAGCTCCATTCCATTTATTTTCTATCCTGAAAAAATCCCCAGTCCTTAACGATTACAAGCATACCCATAACATGCCAGCCACCACTATTCTTGAAAATATGGACAGTGGTACTCCGTAATGTATTGGATTTGACCCAAACATAACACTTTGTATTCAGGACAAAAGGTTAATTGCTTTGCCACATTTTTTGCAGTATTACTTTAGGACCTTGTTGCAAACAGGATGCATGTTTTGGAATATTTTTTATTCTGTACAGGCTTTCTTCTTTTCACTCTGTCAATTAGGTTAGTATTCTGGAGTAACTACAATGTTGTTGATCCATCCTCAGTTTTCTCCTATAACTGTTTTAAAGTCACCATTGGCCTCATGGTGAAATCCCTGAGCGGTTTCCTTCCTCTCCGGCAACTTGAGTTAGGAATGATGCCTGTATCTTTCTAGTGACTGGGTGTATTGATACACCATCCAAAGTATAATTAATAACTTCACCATGCTTAAAGGGATATTCAATATCTGTTTGTTTTTTTACACACCCTTCTTTGCGAGGCATTGGAAAACCTCCCTGGTCTTTGTCATTGAATCTGTGTTTGAAATTCACTGCTTGACTGAGGGACCTTTAAGATAATTGTATGTGAGGGCTACAGTGATGAGGTAGTCTTTCAAAAATCATGTTATTTAGGCTTACCATAACAAAGGGGTTGAATACTTATTGACTCAAGACATTTCAGCTTTTAATTTGTTATTAATTTGTAAACATTTATAAAAACATAATTCCACTTTGACATTATGGGGTATTGTGTTTAGGCCAGTGACAAAAAAAAATCTACATGTAATCCGTTTAAAATTCAGGCTGTACCACAACATAATGTGGAAAAAGTCAAGGGGTGTGAATACTTTTAGAAGGCACTGTACAAGCCAACTGCTGCTACCAGACTCTTATTATGATTGCTAAATACTGCAAAATTTAAAAACACTTTCCCCCCAATCTCCCCTTTCCAAAACACTTGTAAATATTGGACTATAAATTGTGCCTTCCTATATTATACGTATGCTGAAATATTTATTGTATTCTACATTTACTTTGTTTGTATATTTATATTTTATTATTTGTTTTTGCATGGTCGAGAAGGAACCTGCAAGTAAGCATTTTGTTGGACGGTGTCGACCAGGGATGGGCAACTCCAGTCCTCGGGGGTCTGATTGGTGTCACACTTCGCAAAAACCTAGTGTGGAATAAAAATGTAGTGGGTGAAGTGTTTTCATTACTCATTTAGGCAAATTGCACGTTAATAAATTGGCGAAAGCCTGTATGCCCTCCCACCTATCTGTTTCATGTCTCAGGTAGCCTGCGAAAGCCAGCATGAATAGAATGCAATAACTGACTAATATTTAACATATTCTAATCATTCTCATGTGCCAACGTATCGCCACAGTCCGTGCCATTGTAAAACTTGCACTCCTGTAGATCTGAAATAATTGGATGGTGAAACTTGCCAGCCAACCACAAAAGCAAGGCGAAGCAATTCACACATTCTTGAAAGTCAGGACAATCAGTGTCCTGCAAAGAAACATTGTTTTTATAGTTGTAAAAATGTATTTTGCAAGACATAGGCATTTAGAATGAATTGTAGAGTGGAGCTTTATAGTTACGTGGTGACATCACATGCCTCGCGTACCTTCAAAACGATTTGACAATCATCATTTATTTGAAAAAGAATGTTTCCATCAACATTTATAGCAATAAAAAAAGTTTGACAAAATACAAATCCATCTGTCGAACGGATAAAAATGTTGTCGATCTTTAGAAAATGTCTCCTATATCTGTCGTTTCCATAACACATGTTGCAATGATTTATTTTGTGACATTGCTTATGTCAAATATACCTGGGTCAATGGAAACCTGCCTACTGAGATATTTCCTTCATGCCATGGTAGCCAAAATAATGGGCAACTGGGCATTTTTATACATTAATTGCTTAATTAACTCAGGAACCACACCTGTGTGGAAGCACCTGCTTTCAGTATACCTCATTTACTCAAGTGTTTTATTCTGGCAGTTACCTGTATATCACTTGTATAAGCCACAGTGCTGGTTGGCCTAAGATTTGATTTTTTAATGATATATTTAGTCAAAATTTCATGACAGGAAGCACATTCATCAGTCAAATCACTGGACAACTGATACCAAAGTAACCATTCCACATAAGCACTGTCAGGAATATATTGACTGATAATGCGTCAATTAATAATAATAAATGTGTCTATAATAAATCAGATTATTA